AGGAAAGAGGCCATCACCGCGGAGAAAACATTCAGAAAACACGGAAGGAACCGTTCGACTGGGACCAGCACAGAGAGGACCACCGTTCCAGCAGGAAACCCTCTTTTCAAACTAGTCCCAGGGACCCTTGCCAGGAGATGGGGGTTGGAGGGGGCGGGTGGACGACCGGCTTCATTAATCTGCCCTGCAGGATTATACCAGATACCCTGCAGTTATGGCCAGGTATATATTGGAACCACAAATGAAGGACCCACGCCAGAATCAAAGAATGTGAGAGACACTGCAGACTAAAACAACCAGAAAAATCAGCAGTAACTGAACATGCCCTAAAACAAGCTGGACATGAAATTCTATTTCAAAATACTGAATTACTGGACAGCACCAGCAATCATTACGTTAGACTGCACAGGGAAGCCATTAAAATCCATAAACACCAGCAGAGCTTCAACAAAAAAGAGGAATGTCTAAAACTTAACAAGGCCTGCCTTCCAGCACTGAAAAATACAGCCTGCAAAAGGTCAATTTTATTTTTGATTTTCACAGGCTGTGCTTTCACACAGTTTTTCACCATGTAATTAATTGTCTTGACTTTTTTTAAAAGAAGGAAATATAGATTTGCAAATCTTTCCCCCTAAACTTTTTCTTTTGGTGAGTTTTTTTGATAGTTTATTTTTGTTTCTCTTATTTAGATAATGGAACCATAGACCCTGCAAATATAAACAAGGTTTTTAAAGAATATTGCTCTTGGGTGAATGTCACCATTAAATAACTTTCATCCTAGCTAAAACAGAAATAATGCTTTCTGTACATTCACATCTGAGAAACAAAATCCTGCAGAACAAAATGTTCTCTTTTTTGCTATGTACACTAAAGTACAAGCGATTGGGTCTCTTTTGATGCTACAGACTTTGTTCCTGAGCAAAATCTCAAATACAGCACTATAGGAAAGACTATAGATTCTTCCATGCAAAGTACAATACAAAGTGAGCAAAGACATAACAGTGCAGCATCTTTTCTCAGTTTGAGCAAATATCCTAAAATGCAATCCAGTGCATGTCTACTCACTGTACAGCTTACTGAATTCAGTGGAACTTACTTCCTTGTAAGCGAGTATATATTTGCAGTCTGAATAAAATAGTGAAGCCAAAAATGGATTAGGTAAAAACCTTCAAGAAGCTTTATGGCTGAATAAAATATTTCAGAAGACCAAGACTGGGGATGTGAGGATTTGAGTGCACTGCAGAGCACAATTTTCACTCTTTCATCTGAATCTAATCTAGCTTTCAGTCTGGATGCAGACTGGACAGATGAGGGGATAAAATGCACCCTTGTCTGACAACTTTGCCAAGAGGAAACCCTTCTGTCTTTCCATATTGTGTCCTAATAGTAGCTCCTTCTCCACAATACAAGGTACACATCAAGATAGTCAAGTGCTGAGGCATAATCATTTCTTTCAGAACCCATAGTTTCTCATGATCTACAAAGTCAAATACTTTACTGTAATCTATTAAGTATAGATTGATCTTCTAAGTCTGTTCTGTGTGCTGCAGTAGCCAATGAATATTTGCAATATGGTCCTTAGTGCCTCTTCTTTTTCAAAATCCAGCTTGAGTAACAGGCATACATATCTCAATCCACATAAGGTAAAAGCATTTCTTGCAACACCTTCAGCATCACACTGCTTGCTTAAAAGTGATGCTTTAAAACAATGGTCCTGTAGTTACTGCACTCCTTGGCATCTCCTTTCTTGGACAATGGAATGTATATTGAACATTGCCAGCCTGTGGGCCACTGTTTTGTTTTCCATATTTGTTGGCATATTCTTGTAAGGATTTTAACAGATTCAGTTTCTGGGGCTCAAAACTGTTATATTGGTATTCCATCTACCCCTGGTAATTTATTTCTTCCTAGTGCTTTCAGAACAGCTTTCACTTCACTTTCTAGAACTACAGGTTCCATCACAGGATTCTTCTTCAAAGAAATCTATCACTCTTGTATCTCTTCTGAATAATTCTTCAGTATATTGTTTCTATTTTCTCTTAATTTTATCCAGATCGGACAGTGAGTTCCTCTGCTACTCTTTCAGAATCCCTAATCTAAACTTAAATTTCCCTCTGGTTTATTGGATCCTGCGGAAGGTATCTCTTGGTTTTCCTCTCTTTTTGTTCCCTGCTACTTCTTTGCACTGGCCATTGTAACAGTTCTTCTTGTCTCTACGTGATAGTCGCTGACAGTTAGAGGAGACCTTTTCTGGAACTCTTTTGATACCTTTTTTTTCGGTGACCCTAAATAGCTTAGTGTCACAAGCAGATCTCGCAATGTACCTTCGCCACCTTCGTGGTTGCACTCCTGCCTTTGTGAGGGAACATTGAGCAGGTTTTCTCTGCCATGGCGTGGATGCAACGATCGAGCTTGCAAATTTTAGGCCACTGCAAAGATTGTCAGCTGCACCCCAGACTGTTCAGGGGTCTCTCTCTCTCTCTCTCTCTCTCTCTGTGTGTTTGTGTTTAGGACAACTACACTGCCCCTCAACTGTCGGTCTCCCTCTTCCTCTGCACAGTTAAAGCATGAACATTTTAATAAAAGGTATAGTCTGTCCTGGGGAAATCACTGGGCTAGCCCACCACGATTCAGTGGTCAGCCTTCTTTATGGTCCAGCTCTCACTTCCATACATCGCTATTGAAAAAATGATTGCCTACCTTGGGCCACCGTTTGCCTTCTGTCTCTGGAAAGCCTTCCCAAGGCTCCTAGGAACGGAAGTACTCCTGTCTGTGTGCCCTGCTCTCTGTCAACAAAGGGGTGGCCTTGGCGGGCCAACTTGACCCGGCCCCCTGCGTCTCTGCTGCTGCTTCAACCTTTGCCGGAAGAAAGGGTCCTCCCGCAGCTCACTTCCAACCAATCTGTTCTCTAGTCTACGGCCTCTTCCAGGCAAACCATGGGCATCCTCCCCCGGCGTTCAAGGTAGACTGGCCCTCCACCTCTGCCTGGGCTCTTCCAGAATGCCAACAGGGCTACGGAGAGCCCCAAGACAAGTGAGTTCCTGAAAAACTGGTCCACAACAAGGAAGCCTACAAACACCAGGCAGCCCCGGACCTTGCTGGGAGGTCCTGCGCAGAGCACAACAAGGAAACCTACTACAAACACCAGGCAGCCCCTGACCTTGCTGGGAGGTCCTGCGCAGAGCATTTACGGCCACCTCTGGGGCAAGCGAGTGGTGGCCTCCTAGTCACCAGCAGGTACGGGAAGTCTGGTCCCTCTTAAACATGAGCAATCCGTTTGCCTGCCCTTCCAGGCATCTCAGCTGAAACCCCATCACCGGGAGGGCTTCCACCTACTACAAACACCAGGCAGCCCCTGACCTTGCTGGGAGGTCCTGCGCAGAGCATTTACGGCCACCTCTGGGGCAAGCGAGTGGTGGCCTCCTAGTCACCAGCAGGTACGGGAAGTCTGGTCCCTCTTAAACATGAGCAATCCGTTTGCCTGCCCTTCCAGGCATCTCAGCTGAAACCCCATCACCGGGAGGGCTTCCCCGGCTGCACGAAACAGCCTCTGAGAGCCTCCCATCCAGGTCCACGGTCATGAAGGATGCCAGGTGAAGCAAAAGATCCGGCACCCTAAAAGGCTCCCAGGTGACGCTGTTGGGAACGCGTCAGTCCGGAAATTTGTGATTTAATTATTTTACTTATTTATTTGTCTCGTTTACAGGCCACCTTTCTCCTGTCTCCCATCCAGGTCCATGGTCATGAAGGATGCCATGTGACGCAAAAGATCCGGCACCCTAAAAGGCTCTCAGGCGACGCTGTCGGGAACGCGTCAGTCCGGAAATTGGTGATTTTATTATTTTACTTATTTATTTGTCTCATTTACAGGCCACCTTTCTCCTGATAAGGAGACTCCAGGCGGCCCATCGTATTAAAAAGGACAGAACTGAAAACACCGTAAGTTATCCATTAAAAAACAATTAAACTATAAAACTAATTAAAATACACTGAATCATTAAAAACACATAAAACGTTAAAATCTATCCTAACTAAAAAAAAAACCCGGCATTCCGTGAAGTATCTCTGGGCTTTCCTCCAGTCTCCACGGCTGCCTGGCTGCCCTCTGCCCTGATGGCTCTTCCTTTATTTTACTTATTAAAGTGTTTCCAACCCAACCTATATCAACAGAGCCCAGAACAGGCCATTCATGGGTAAAATCCCATCCAAACCATCTTAAACACTTTTAAACCATTTGCATCACTGTAACAATTTGAGTAGAAAAAAAACATTAACACGGAGAGACTGGAAATCAAACTCTTTTACTTGCTCGGCCCTGAAAGCTCCAGTGAGCAGCCGGGTGACAGCTTGCCATGGAAATCATGGCGACGTATGGACCGGTTGGGCCTCGTGGGGAGATGCTAAACAATCGGGGGGGGGGGGGGGGGTGTCACTGAAAGCCCCCTCCCACATCTTCACACAGTGCATCACTCCCAACGGCAGGGTGCAAGGCATTCCCCCTTACCCATAGGTCTCAACGTCTGAGCAAGGAACTCTGGGGAGCTGTTCTTTCCTCCCCCCTCCCCCCCCGATCAAGGACATCAGCCATTCGGGGCTTTGAAGTCCTTACTGACACTATGAATTCAGCCTGAAAGCCGGTGCCCCCTCACCAGTCCTGCGATTTATGCAGGGTGCTGCTGCCAGCGGTTGCGGTGCCGTGCACTGCATGAGCTGGAGGCGCATCGTCTCCAAGGGCAGCCCCAAGGCAAGTACACAGCAGTACACAGAAGAGAAAGCTGCCGGCACATGAGCAACGGGGAACGTTTATTCTTCACCAGGAACAGTCTAGCTGGTGGAGCGAGTGAAGCTGGCCACTGGCTATATTGTGTGCGATGTATTATTTAATACATTATGACGTATAATTTTCATTAGCAATCGCCCTCCTGGCAAACAACGAGGAGGGGCCTGGAGGTTGGCAAGGCACAGCTTCTGGGCCAGGCGGCACACGGGGACTCACTCACCGATGGGGGAGAGCTCGGCCACGCTGCCAATGTAGGGCCCCCCCAGGAAGCGGGGCTCGCTGTCGTTGATGTCCTGCACCTTGATGACGAACTCGGACTCGGGCTCCAGCAGCCGGTCGGTCTGGCGGTCCCGCGCCTGCGCCCGCAGCGTGTAGAAGGTCTTCTGCTCACGGTCCAGGCGTTCGGTGGCATGAATGTCCCCCGTCAGCTCGTCAATCAGGAAGATGGTGCCAGCACCCTCTCCGGAGATGGTGTACTTGATGGAGCCGTCGCCCTCATCGGAGTCCGAGTGGATCTGGAGACAGGAGGACAAAAGCAGGAAGAGAGGAGTTGGCTCCCGTGGCACGCCTCCTGCCGCACGCCAGATGCCACCCTTACCCCCCGCAGCAGGCCTTCCTCCCCAGCAGCCCTCTCTGCCACGCCCACAGCCATCTTCACCCGCTTTCCACAATGAACAACCGCCGGCTCCCCAGGTCGGGGCCCGTCCGTCCTCAGGGCAAGGAAAAAGGCAGAGAGGAGGAGGAGGAGGAGGAGGACGGGGTAGAGGCTCTGCTGGTGGAGCCCAATGTGATCTGCAGGTTGCAGGAGATCCGGAAGGATTCCCAACCCCCTCCTCTCCCCCCAGGAGATCCCACAAGAGCAAAAGCTCCTTCTCCCGCTCATGACTTTAAAGCTCCTTCAGCCTGCAGGGTAATGAACTCTGCCTCAAGAGTTGACCCTTGAGGGAGGCACCTGCCACTTCCCACCTTGGTGGAACCAAGATGTTACCTTACAAACAACATTCTTACTATTCATTTCTTGTGTCAGTAGAGCTACGGTCATTCGGACAATCCACTTCCTCTGCTTACTCCGCACTGCGCAATGAACAATCGGGGCTCCCCAGACGGGGATGCTCAAGGTGTCACAACAAAGGCTTCTGTCTCCTATGGAGCGAGAAATGCCTGATGTCCAAGCTGGATTTTGAAAGGGAAGAGACACTTGAGGTCACATTGCAAATATCCGCCGGCTGCTAGAGCGTACAAAAGATTCAGAAGAAGACCGGTCTGTGCTTTGTGGACAACAGCAAAGCCTTTGAGTGTGTGGATTGGATGATGATAAGCTATTGTGTGTTCTAAAAGAAATGGGTGAGCCTCAGCACTTGACTGTCCTGATGTGTAACCTGTCTTGTGGGCAGCAATCTATGGGATCTGGAGAGACAGAAGGGTTTTCTCTAGGCAAAGGAGTCAGAGAAGGCTGCATTTTATCCCCTTGTCTGTTCTGCCTGTCTGCAGAACATATTGTACGGGAAAACTGGACTAGATTCAGATGAAGGAAGGGTGGAAATGGGTGGAAGAAACATCAATCATTTAAGATATGCAAATGGCTGGAAGCAGCAACGGCTCGACACAATTAGTGAAGGTGAAAGAATAACATGCCAAAGCAGGGCTGTGGCTGAAAGTTTTGAAGACCAAATCATGATTACAGAAGAACTACACAACGTAAAGGTTGATAAAGAAGAAACTGAAATAGTTAAGAGATTTTGTACAGCCGGGTTCCATCATCAATCCAAAGGGAGACGGCAGCCAAGAAACTGGAAGAAGACAGAGACTCGGAAGGGCAGCAAGGAAGGAACTGGAAAATCATCCTCAAGGGGAAGGACGTCTCACTGGAGGCCAAGACCAGGATCATCCACACTCTTGTGTTTCCGAGTATGAAAGCTGGACAGTTAAGAAAGCAGACAGGAAAAACATTGGTCCATCTGAAAGGTGCAGATACCTGGGCTGTCAGAAACACGAACGTGGGTGCTAAATCAAATCAAGCCTGAACTCTCTCTGGAGGCAGAAATGTTGAAGCTGAGGCTGTCCTCCTTTGGGCACAAGGCAGGATTTTCTAGAAAAGACAATCATGCTGGGAAGGTAGAAGGTGGCAGGAAAAGAAGAAATATAGGATGGATCGACTCCCTCAAGGAAGCCACAGGCTTGCGTTTGGAAGAGCTTAAGAGGGCAACTGAGGATGGCCCATTTTGGAGATCAGTGACTCTTGGGACTGCCATAAGTGGAAGGCGATTTGATCCCCCACAACAACGGCCACAACTGGGCATAGAAATGGGCATCAGGTGATGCCGAATGGGACGGAAAGCCCTCGTGTTCCCCGCAGGCTGATGGGGCAAGTGTGGGAGAGGAGGTGAGAAGGAGGGAAGCAGAAGACCAGACGCGAGACGGATCAACGCCCTGAAGGAAACCACAGGCTCAAGTCTGCAAGAGATAGAGCCGGGCTGTGGAGAACGGGACATGCTGGAGATCCCTCAGTCATGTTGTCGTCATAGGTCGGAGGTGACTTGACGGCACATAACAACAATTTTATTTATTTATTTATTTATTGCATTTATATGCCGCCCATCTAGACATACAACAACAACAACAACAACAACAACAACAACAACAACAACAACAACAACAACAACAACAACCACCACCACCATCACCACCACCTTGCATATAACCTTTGGTTTCACTTCACTCTTGACAGGTCTAAAGAAGTGGATGTTTCCATGAAACTCACGTTGAAAGATAACATTGAATATGCTTTTGAGATCTTTGGCTCCTTTATTTTTATTTTTGTCTGAATATCCCCAATCAAGCACACAAAGCCCAAGGCTGGTCATGTTCTGCTGGAACCTTGGGCAGGAAACTACCAGCCAGCGAGCGAACGGGAAGAGGAATAAACCGAGCCGCCACCTGCCGGCTGCCTTTCCTCCTCGGCCCCCAACATGGGCTGCCCGAGCGGCGGCTCCAACCTGCCCCATAGCCGGGCTGGCTATGAGCTGGCGGGCAGAGCGGATGGCCCCGCAGAGAAAGCAAGGGAATTCCACCAAAGCTATTTCTGCGCGCGTGCACGCACGCACACACACACACACACACCGGGAGACCACACCTGCACCCCAGTCCTTGTGCTGAGGCATGACACACTCGCCGGAAAATGCTTTTCCCCTCACGAAGGGAACAGTGGAGCAACCTTTTACAGCCCTTTCCTCCAGAGCCGCCTGGGCACAACCGGGCCTGCCAGGCAAACTGCTGGGGGGGGCGGGGGGTGGGGGGTGGCCTAACAGAGGCCCCCAACCCAGGAGGTCCCTGCAAAGGAAGACGCAGCCCTCAAGCCTCTGCTGGACAGCCGGCCTTTGGCCCGTGTCCCTCGGGCAGCCCTGGCGCACTGCCCGCACTTGGTGCCTCCAGCCTCCCTCAAGGTGAAGCCAGCCAGACACCGGGTATGGGAGGGCAAGGGGGGGGGCACGGGAGCTCTTCCCTCCTCCCCGGTGAGGACTGTTAACCCGCTTGTGCCCAGGAGAAAGAGGGACACTCTGGGGCTATGAAGGGCCAGCAGGGCCGGCTTGCTACCCAGGCCCCTCTGCTCATGCCAAGGACAAGAGAGCATCAACACGCCCATGCCCCCATGCGTTCCCTGGGCGCTGCTGGAATGCCGTCCAGGCATCAGAAACACTTCCTCACTCCACCCCACCAGGCAAAAACCCAGGTTGGTGCCCCCACCCGTCCATCCCGGATGGAGGAAATGGTCTCCTCGGCACTCAGGGGAGGCTCCTTCATCTTTCTGGGAAGTGCCACAGAAATCAGGGCCACGGGTGGGGGGGGCGCATGAGCCCACAGCGCCGTCAG